ATGCGGTAATTTCGAATCCCGACGAACTGGCTGGCTCCATGGGTGTTTTCGTGATTTTACGCATGTGTATAGTGTATGGAGTATCTTCTGGGTGTATATGTGAATAAAGCGGGCAGAGCCCGCGCAAAGCCACATAACACTGGTAATTCGGTCCAACTTTCGAATACCGGCGAACAGGCAGGCTCCATGTTTGTTTTCGTGATTTTACGCATGTGTATCGTTTATGCACCATCTTCAGCATGCATACGTGAATAAAGCGGGCACAGCACGCGCAAAATCGCTGAAAAATTGTATTTCGGTCCAACTTTCGAATCGGCAGCGGGCTGGCTGGAGGGGTGTTTTTTCGTGATTTTACGCATGTGTACGGTGTACGCAGTATCTTTTGCATGCACACGTGAACACTGTTTTGGGCGGGCTCCCGCCCAAAAGCGCTGAACACTGGTATTTCGGTCCAAATTTCGAATACCCGCGAAAGGGCTGGAAGCATGGGTGTTTTCGTGATTTTCCGCATATGTATAGTGTATGCGGTAACTTCTGGATGCATAGGTGAAAAAAAGCGGGGGAAGCCCGCGGAATGCCGCTAAAAAATGGTAGTTCGGTTCAACTTTTCAATACCGGCCAAATTTAACATAGGATATCTTTTAAAAACGAACAATGATAAGCGGGCTTCAGCCCGCTCAGCTGGCGGGCTTGCCCGCTAGTCTATACTATTAAAATCTGTGTGCCTCTGTCTGTTTTGTGTGTTTGTAACATCATCTCCTCGGGAACGGCTGGGTGTAGAGCTTAGCGGAAGGTACCGTTGGATTCAGAATTGCCCGTGGCTCGCCGGATTGACCATCGGCATCTTCGTGCGACTTTAATTAGCCGAGATATTAATTAAAAACTGCTTTTTCCCCCTACATTTCCCTACGTTTTGCACTTTCTTTCACTTTGCACTTTCTTTCACCCGTTTTCCCCTATTTTAGGGATTTGGCCGAGTGCCAAATTCGTTTTTTCTCGAATATCTGCGGAACGGCTCCGAGTTGTTGCGATTCGAAACGCATATCCCCGTATTCGAAAAAAATCAACGAATCCATCGATACCGGTCCCATCTTCGTACGACAATAATCGGCGGAGTTATTAATTAAAAACTGCGAAAACGTTATTTCATTTTTCGGAGTGGCAACCGTCTCGGAATTAGCTGAGATAAAATTGCTTTTTCGAAAGCGCCGGGGGGATGACAATTGCTTCCGCTCGAGATTTGTGCTGGCGAAAGGTCACGTGTCAATTTCTTTTTTCTTAAATATCTATGGAACAGCGCTGAGTTGGAATTCGAGGCAGGTGTCTGCGGATTCTAAAAAATTCTACGAATCCAATGTCTCATCTTCGTAGGACGTTAATCAGCTGAGATATTAATTAAAAACTGTGAAAACGCTAATTTTCGGGCTCATTTTTCCGATTGCAACAGTTTCTTGAATCGCCGCAGATACAAATCAAGGTTATATTCTAAAGTTGAATAAAGCACGCGATTGCATGTTACCTAACTGTATTTTAAAAATATTTCGTTAATGTAGGCATTTTAAATAAACAGCTGCTTTTCACAATTTTTTTTTAATTTCAGGTTAGGATGATTGTCACGTTAATTCTTTTATTGATATTGAATAAAAGTTATTATATTACATTAAATTTAAATGATGACGTTCTTGAAGTTGTACAACTTTAATCAGCTGGGATATTAATTAAAAAATCTGAAAAAGCTATTTTTAAAAATATGTTGTTTTTTTAATAATAAATTTGATTTTTTGGAATAATATATTTTTTTATGTTATTAGATACGTGCACTTAATTTAGATATTATCTTTTAATGCAAATGATATTTTTAAATAAGTTCGCACCAATAAAAATTAAATTCACACTTTTTTTTTTTTTTTTTTTTTTTTTTTTTAGATTAAAGATTTTTCTTTGCTCCTTTGAGATGGTATACGGTAACTTTCGAATCCCGGTGAGCAGGCAGGCTACACTCATGTTTTTTGTGATTTTACGCATATCTGTTGTGTATGCAGTGTCTTCTGGATGCATAAATGAATAAAGCTGAACTCTGGTAGTTCGGTCCTAATTTCGAATCCCGGCGAACGGGCTGGGTCCATGGGTGTTTGCGTGATTTTACGCATGTGCCTCGTGTACGCAGCATCTTCTGGATGCATAAGTGAATAAAGCGGCCGAAATTCGCTCAAAACCTCTGATTACTGGTAGTTCGGTCCAACTTTCGAATCCAAGCGACCGTGTTGGCTCAATGTGTGTTTTCGGGATTTTTCGCATGTGTAACGTGTATGCGGTATCTTCTGCATGCATACTTGAATAAAGCGGGAGCAGCCCGCGCAAAACTACAGAACACTGGTAGTTCGGTCCAACTTTCGAATTCCGGGGTACTGTACATAAAATTTGGTCGCATACGTGAATACAGCGCGCGGATACCGGGTAAAACCGCTGAACACTGGTAGTTCGGTCAAACATTCGAATCTCTGCGAGCGGGCTGGCTGCATGGGTGTTTTCCTGATTTTCCGCATGTGTATAGTGTATAAAGTGATTTCTGGATGCATATGTGATAAAAGTGGGCGCAGCCTGCTCAAAACCTCTTAACGCTGGTAGTTCGATCCAACTTTCGGTGTCGGCGAACGAGCTGGCTCCCCGGGTGTTTTCTTGCTTTAACTCATGTGTATCGTTTATGCAGTATCCTCTCCATGCTTATGTGTATAAAGCGGGCGCAGCCCGCTCCACAAAATCGCTGAACACTGGTATTTCGGTCCTACTTTCGAATTCCGGGGTACTGTATATAAAATTTGGATGCATACGTGAATACAGCGCGCGGATACCGGGTAAAACCGCTGAACACTGGTAGTTCGCTCAAACTTTCGAATCTCGGCGAGCGGGCTGGCTGCATGGGTGTTTTCGTGATTGTTCGCATGTGTATCGTTTATAAAGTATCTCATGGATGCATACGTGAATAAAGCGGGCACAGAATACTGGTAATGCGGTTCTGGTAATGCGGTAATTTCGAATCCCGACGAACTGGCTGGCTCCATGGGTGTTTTCGTGATTTTACGCATGTGTATAGTGTATGGAGTATCTTAAGCGGGCAGAGCCCGCGCAAAGCCACATAACACTGGTAATTCGGTCCAACTTTCGAATACCGGCGAACAGGCAGGCTCCATGTTTGTTTTCGTGATTTTACGCATGTGTATCGTTTATGCACCATTCTTCAGCATGCATACGTGAATAAAGCGGGCACAGCACGCGCAAAATCGCTGAAAAATTGTATTTCGGTCCAACTTTCGAATCGGCAGCGGGCTGGCTGGAGGGGTGTTTTCGTGATTTTACGCATGTGTACGTGTGTACGCAGTATCTTTTGCATGCACACGTGAACACTGTTTTGGGCGGGCTCCCGCCCAAAAGCGCTGAACACTGGTATTTCGGTCCAAATTTCGAATACCCGCGAAAGGGCTGGAAGCATGGGTGTTTTCGTGATTTTCCGCATATGTATAGTGTATGCGGTAATTTCTGGATGCATAGGTGAAAAAAGCGGGGGAAGCCCGCGGAATGCCGCTAAAAAATGGTAGTTCGGTTCAACTTTTCAATACCGGCCAAATTTAACATAGGATATCTTTTAAAAACGAACAATGATAAGCGGGCTTCAGCCCGCTCAGCTGGCGGGCTGGCCCGCTAGTAGTGTATAAGACCCGTTTTATTCAAACATAAAATTAACAAATGACCCAACTTAAGTTACAAAAAGCCAAGTACTTTTGGCTTAACAGAATAAGGTAACAACAAATAATTTCAAGGTGCGGTATATTAGCCAAACGGCTCACAGAATATTTTAACGCCCAGGAAGAGCTCTAGTTTATAGTAAACCGGCGAGACAAGCCTCATGGCTAAAACACTGAACGCTGCTAACGCAAGTTGCTAATAATCACAGCAGAAAGTGGCCTGGAATAGGCAGACACGCTCTAAAACGAACTTCCGAATGAAATAAATAAACTTAAAACGGAGTAAAGAGAGTGAGTACATGTATATATCTTTGGATCTGCCGATTGCAAGAAGAAAGGGAGGTGCACAACGAGATGCTATACCTGTACCATATAGAAAATTTTAACGTTTTATGATTGCTTTTTGCGCCAAAAAATGGCAGAGTTCTGTATCTCTTGTTCTACTTGCCCGGTTGACGAAATTCAAGTTGCCTTTTTCATGTCTCGAAAGCGCTACTTAGGATATATATTAGATTTATATATAGCATTGTTGTAACACAAAATCGGACATTTTCTGGAAACACATACCAATTTTTTATCATATTTCTGTTTTACGACTGAAATTATGCCTAGATATTTAATTTTGTCATTTTTGGTGAGAAATTTATGGAGAAGTTTAAAGATTTATCTTCGCGATTTTTTTTAGTAATTCACTCGGTGAAATTCTGAATCTATAGCAACCTATTATTTTCTTTCCCCCCCTTTTTTTTTCATTGTAAACGAGCGGAAAAACAGTCATCGTTCGTACTTTCAAGTAATTTTAACATAGTGCTTAAACCACGTTCAGCGATGTTATCGCTGATAAAAAGATGCCTAATTTCAAAACGTCCTTTATTCTGTTCCTAGTTACAGATGTCACTCAAATAAAATAATATGAATGGATTCAGGAACTGTCTAAATGAATATTTCTGTTGAAATGTGAGAACCGAAATTTTTAGCTGTTAGAATATTTTCTTTGTTTGGTACTAGGAAGTAAAAACTGTCTCGTGAGTTGTTTATAGATTGTGCATTCCGCCTGCATGTAATTCGAGATTGAGACGAGTGCTGTAGAGGTGCAGCAGGAATCTTGCATGCATTTTTCGTGGAATCTTTATTCATTTATTTTATTCATTTATTCTTGATAGTATTTTCACCTATTCTATTCACTCAGTGTATGTTATTGTGATTGCATTTCAAATTATGTTAACTTTTTCTGTCTTCCTTATTTTTCCAATCCAGAAGAAACCAGCCTCCCGGGAGGCGCTGTTCAACTTGGCCTTGCTACTGTCGGAGCAGCATAGACAGACAGAAGCGTTGTCCTTCCTCGACCAACTGTTACGAGTGAGTAATTACTTTCCGGATCGATTTCTTGGTTCCTCTTACCCTCCCCTCTTGGTGTTTTCCCCCTTCTGCTCATAGTTACGGAAATTTGTACCGCTTCCTTTTCAAGGTAGAAAATTCGTTTGGATTCTTCGTAAATTTCGCCGGCTTCTCTTAAGATCCAGAAGCATAAAAATGAACTCTGTTATTAAAGATGCGTGCGTCAGCTAATTAAGCGTATTGCCTTAATGAAGACATAAATTGCGCTTACTTGCGTTATCAGGTGATTAAGGATATTGTTTTAATGAAGACACAAATTGTATGGGAATATATTTCAAAGTTATGTGCTGTAGACACTTCTTAGGAGGATTTGGTATACAGTATTACATAATTAATCCCGTTCCAGATCCTTGGACGTATACTAGACCATAAAGGTAATTCATTCGTATAAGCAACATTGTCGTTGTAAGAGTACAGTTTAGTACTGAAATACTTAAGCAGTGCAAGAGGTATAGACTGTACATAAAGAGAACACTGAACATGAGACTATACAGAAATGTTTTCCTCTTGTCGAGAGAAATCGAGAAATTTTTCAACCTGCTCTAACATTTCTGATTTTCGCATTCGATTCTGTTTACGTTCCGAAAACTGCAGTAAAAGTTAACCATGCTTGCATTATTTTATTATTATTATTTATTTAGAGTGTCATGACAACAGCCTTTGTTAGATTTTCTTCCCCCCCCCTTCTTGTAGGGCGATCAACAAGTCGTTTAAGTGGTGGTTTCCTACTGTCCTTTGATTAGTGCCTAGAGGCGATTAACCCGGCGGAAGTCGTCATGGAGGTAGGAAGTAAGATGGAGTCGCCCTAAACAAGTTTCTCCGTACCCTGCTCTGAAGCACCGGCGATCCCTACGTGGTGACCAAAACATTGGGTCATTTACCATTGAGTTCTATGGATTTACGCGTTCGGGTGTAAAATATTTTGTAATTACGTCGCAAATATACATATAAATGTATATATTTTCTTTTTCTACAACACTTCAGAGTCCTAAGTATGTGAAAACAACATATTTTTAAACAACATTTCATTCTGAACGGAATTAAATGCTATACTTTTTACAGGACAATTTTCTCAGAATGGTTTAATTTGAATGAAATATTTTCACAAGTTTTCGTTAATTACATTAGAAAAAAAAATTAAGGTAATTCGATTTTATTCGGTTAAGGTACAAAAATTAAGATCAAAGTTTATTGTATTATTAATATTAAAATTATGCATTATTTCTTTTCTATTTATAGAGCTTCTTCCTAAAATACTTTCTTAAATATGACATGATTTTTTGGCTTCTTTTAAATCGAAAAATGTAAGTCAATTTATAATTACTGCTCTATTCGGTTCATTTTAAATTCGCTAATTCCTTCCTTCCTTCCTTCCTTCCTTTTCTTCCCTCCTCTATTCGGTTCTATTCTAATGCTCTATTCGGTTCATTTTAAATTCGCTAATTCCTTCCTTCCTTCCTTCCTCCCCTTCTTCCTTCCTTCCTTCCTTCCCTTCCCCCCTCCCCTTCCTTCCCTTCCCCCTCCCCTTCCTTCCCTTCTCTTCCCCCTCCCTTCCTTTTTTCTTTCCTTCCCTCCTTCCTTCCCTCCTTCCTTCCTTTCCTTCCTTCCTTCCTTCCTTCCTTCCTCTTCCTTCCTTCCCCTCCCGTCCTTCGTTCGTTCGTTCCCTTCCCCCCCTCCCTTCGTTCTTCGTTCCCTCCTTTCTCCCTTCCCTGCCCCCCTTCCCTTCCTTCCTTCCTTCCTTCCTTTCCTTCCTCCTTTCCTTTCCTTTCCCCCCTCCCCCCCTTCCTTTCTTCCTTCCTTTCCTTTCCCCTTCCCCTTCTTCCTTCCTTCCTCCCTTCCTTTCCCCCTCCCCTTCCTTCCTTCCTTCTCCTTCCTTCCTTCCTTTCCTTCCTTCCTTCCTTCGTTCGTTCGTTACAATTTCATGTAATTTTCTTTCCCTTTAGCATCATCCAGGTCACATCAATGGGCTCATCCTATTCGCTGATATCAATGTCAATCACCTGAAGAACCTGGACGTCGCAGAGGAGGTAATTTTCTTCCTTATATGCCTCTTTTTTTTCCTTCTCTTGTAACATTCTCGACTGTTCGACTGGTTAATTTGCTTTCTTTTGGTCATGTCTTGGTGTTCTGCTCCGTTAGAAATGTCGCTGGAAAGAATAAATGGTCTAGCGCTAGAGAAAAAAGGAAAAAGTTTCCTTTGCTCACAACTTAGTGATGAAAGGATCCAAATAAAACTAAAAATTGGCTTTTGTAGAAATTACGTGAGGTATTTTACTCTGGATGATTTTTTTTTAGTTTAATCAAACGGTGATGGAGTATTTCTTATAAGAAATCAAATTATCACACTCAGTAGAAATCTAAGACACAAGTAGTTATGTTCTGAAATTAATTAACAATACAACTAAGAGATGTGTCCAACATATCAATAGTTTTTCATAATATGGTTTATGTTTTGTGTTTTTGGATATTGGTACGAAAATGCATTTTAATCCCTTCTGAAATTAATATGCACGATTTTCGTAATATGAGCGTTTTTCGCGTAATTTTCTATTCTGCTGGCAAAGTAGTTAGTTTAACACACGGAACTCTTACTAATAGTTTAATACCTTTCAGAAATTATTCTGTTTCGCGAATTGCAAAATTTTGGTAAAATATTCTTTAATCTAAAATAAAATAGCGGTACTTTAAAATAAATATAATTAATTAATAAATATCATTAACGTTGCTTCCTGAAGTAACCCAGTTTGTTGCTTCACTTAAAGGACAAACTCTACAACTGCTTTGAAAAGTTTTTACGGCTGTCATATCCAAAGAATCCCCGCTTCAAAAGCATCGATATCAGTATTAAATCCATAATATACATAACTGTTTTGCAAACATAAATGTATTTTCACAAACTCATATTGCTCTGTTTTATAAACTGAACTGCAAAGATTTGCGAGCGACTGCACAAAATTTTTTAAATTTACTAATTTTTCTATTTTCAGTGCTACAGCAGGGTCTTGAAGATAGACTCTACGAATCAGAAGGCCCTCCATAACCTGTGCGTCCTCCATTTTGAACGTCAAGATTTTGCAATGGCAGAGCGGTGTCTAGCTCATACTTTGGCCTTGCATCCTAGTGTTCCCTACATACGACAACACTTGCAAGTCGTCAGAAACATTCTGAAGCAAGGTCCTGATAGAGGTTTTGGACATTTGGCTGCCTCTCATCCAGTCAGCTGACCGGTGCATAACAGATGGATACCTCGAGAGCTTTCTATGAGTGAAATAACCTCCTGCCTTTCACGGAACATTTCCTCGAGAGACAGGTGAAATATTCCGCTCCGTCCGCTTCCAGGCGAATTTTAGGCAAATAATGTCTTTATCTAAGCAAACATCAACTCTTTACTTGTGACAAAGAGGTTCCGTTACCTCTTCCATCAAATCTGTTTACTAATTCACGTTGAAAGCTCCAACAGTTTTTGAAAAATGAACATGCATTGAACAATTTTAAAGGAATGTACCAGTATTTTCTTGTACAAAGCTAGCTGGAATGGTGGACCTTTCGAGGATAAAAACCTGTATCTAGCAAGGATTATTAACTATGTACGAAGATTAACATAATATTTCTTTCACTGAATTATTTTACTCATAAGTGTTAAGTCTTCGGAGCTGAAGAATCATTCAATTGATATATTTAATATCCCAGCCTTCTTGCAAGTCTTAGTTGCCACGCATTCTCTACAAAGCATCATATGATTTTCACTATCCCATGACATGGTGTATGTTTCTAAAATAAATTGAATTTATTCTATTATTAATTAATATATGACGCTTTTAAATTTGCTGAAGCAAAATTTTTCTAAAAGATGATCATCTAGCGCATTCTTCTGTAATAAAGCAGCTATCAGAGGGGTTTTAATTATGCTTTTTCTTCATTGTCAAAGATGTTTGAACGGTTTTCAGACTTTCTGATGTTTTACCATATCAAAACCTAGCGGAAAACAGAAATATATTCATTCATAACATGACGTAATCTACGAAGAAACTACGCATTTCTTAACTAAAATCTATTGATGAAATCCAAATAATAGTTTATCCTTTTTCTGACAATAATTGTTCTACAGCATGATGAATAACCTCCGTGATGCCTCTGTGTCAACAGTCATTCTATAGTTAATAGCACTATTGTGTAAATATTAAAAATATCACTCTCGTAAGGATTCTACATTCTGAAGGTGCATTTAGCAACTGGAACATCTTTATCATTCACGTGCATGTGTGTTGTAGTGGTCCAAGCAATTTATTTACTAATTCTCACATTATTAATCAACAACACAAATAAACACTGTAATTACATTCTACAAGTCTTTGAACTGCACAATGTACAGTGATGGCTGCTCGGTATTTATGAACTCTTGACATTTCCTTCAAATTCTACGGAATCGGTCATCAAGAAACTGTACGAACTGTTATAATATGTGCCGAAAACTTTCAACCACTGGCTTTTTTTAATGTTGAAAGATCGAACATTCTTCCTATTCTCTTCAACATTAAAGAGTCCCATATCTATGAAGATTTATGCTAAGATTTCTTTTTATTATCTTGATAAATATAGTTGATCGTTTTAATGCCTATTCCTTGGTGTTCGCAAGCTACTGGAACCATGAACGGCATGTAAGAATATAGCTTTTTGTCCCTTTCCCTTTACGACTGGCCTATCTAGCGATGTTCCATCCACTCAGTGAGTTCTTCTGGTCCTATTTGGGTGTGAAAATGCTTGTCCTCTGAAGTGTACGCTTCCAATTTGAATCATAAGTACTTCATCTCATGCTGCACAGCCTTATATGATAATTCCATTATCTTGCCGAATGATTATGAGTGAAATATTTTAGAAAGACGATTGTGTATTCTCCAAGTTTGGTATGTTCTAAAAAAGCTTTGTGCTACGTGTCACTACAGTAATCTTCCAAACTCTGATTTATACTATACAAAAAATGTACATCACACTTAGGTGCAGACAAATTTAAAATAGAAACCTTTGAATTCGCGTGATTTGACCAATAGTCGTAAAGATTAGGTAATTTTTGATTGTTAGACTGAAATGGCAAGTCGATAGTCGCGTTAATTAAATGCTAGTATTTCGAGATTTTGAGCAGTTTCTAGAATATCAACACCTAAGCTTCTATCTTTGCTAACTAAGACTTTTCAGGAAAGATGGAGCTTCCAACAAATGCGTTGGATTCAACCCCTTAGCTACGAACGTCAAGGGAAAGAAGTTCCACCATTTGTCCATGATCTTGATGCACTAAACGTCATTGTAGCGCCCGAGCGTGTTTTACAATTAAGCCTAAATGCTAAAATAATTCTTATAACACCTTATTTTTGTATAAATATTTGAATTCTTGTATATGTTATTTATATTCCTTATTACATAAAAATAAAATCCTAATATTTAAAATAAAAGTACGGAATACGTAAAAGTGGATTCCGCGGAAATTCTTTAGAATTAATTGCAGCGAAACATCAACCCTTAAATAGAATTACCACAGACACCTTATCTTAAATTTTTGAAACCTTAATCTGATTATGAGTCAATTTAAACATATGTGCGTGCCCAAAACCCATATCGATATTGAACTATTATCTATTATTGAAAATAAAAATAACTTAACAGCCAGTGGCAGGTAACACAAAAGTATCTGAAAATAGCGAATAAAACAATTTTCATTTATTGGCTATTATCAGGCAATGTACCTATAATGCTATGTGCCTATAAGAACTTAATATTACGAATTTTTTAATTTTCTTTACAAACCTATGTTATACCATCTGTCGAATATATTTATCACACGGTAATTGCCACAGTCATTTAAATTCTTTGTAAAAATTGCATTTTTTTTAATTATCATAAACGTTAAAGGACATAACATACTTACACACATATACATGAGAGCTCTCGATCTCTTTGAAGAGCGCGATCAGTTAACACTTTCATGCCTAATAAGACATTTAATGCACGATATACGTCAAATACAGATGTATACACTTAAAAAAAATGGCCAAAGTTCAAAGTCAATTCAGGTTAATAGTCATTTGAAATGTCAACAACTTCGAGAGTTACCCATCGTGTCCCATAGTACCCCCGCATAAAGGTGGGACGTTCCAAAATTATTTAAAGCATTGATGGCTTATTTAAGAGATTAAGAAAAACAACACTGTCAAAAATAGAAAAACGTCAAAATTTCAAACTAGTTTGTTTTGTCAAAATAATGCTAATAGCATAACGATCGTGTTTTATGCTAACAGAATCACCGTAGTACTGTACAGGCATTCTGTTAAATGGCCAGAGATGCTAACGTAATGTACTGACAACTACATGACACGGATATATAGAAAAAATGCCTTTTATTCCTTATAAATTAAAAGTGAATTCCTGAATCCTATACCTAAAGGTACTAAATTTCTACAAAAAATGGCAGTAAAGCTATCATTATACCGGTTTCCTAAACTAATTAGTAACATTTTGAAAGCATGAATTTTGTAAAACTTTAACGAATTTTTGATTAACAAACTTGAAGATTTCAAAGCGAGGAACAGCAACACTGTACGGGAAAAAAAAAAAAAAAAAAAAAAAAAATATCTCCAGCGCGCGAGACTGTATATCGGAAATTCTAAAGATACGCTCTTTCAAATATTTTGTAATATTGCTGCTGAATTGAATTTTATGGTTTAATTGCGAAGAACATTATATTTCATACATAAAGGTGACGCACAAAACGTTAAAAGAAACGCTTCTTTGCACATAATATAAAATCCAGAGGTCCCGATATTAGATGGTGTATTTAATTATGACAAAGCACACTAGGGCTATCTGCCTAAGAGGAGGAATGCCTCCGTGGAGGCCCTTCTAAGGGAAACTGGCTCGTATACACGTTACACATGGGGAAATCACGCACGCAGCCAGCCCGTTCGCGGGATTCGAACCTCCGACCGAACTACCAGTGTTCAGCGACCGGCCGCTAGTGGGCGGTCCCGATATTAGATGCCCGGATTTCGGACTTCGTACTCTTTAAACATTTGTTAACGGCTGAAAAACCGCATAATTATTCCTGATGCCAAATATGATAAAATTTCATCGTCGAATATCAATCGTAAAAAATTTTAATTCTTCATTGTCAGAAATATCTACCAAAAAATAATTTGATTAAGAATTCCTGTACAACTTGCTTGTGTTCTAGAAACTGCCTATCCTCCCGAAAATCAGCTCTCAGTCAACTAGCGGTAGTGAAATAGTAACAACGGAGACATTCTTTGGACAAAGGGCCTTAAAAATTCGTTTCGAGTGTCAGCTGTGATATATGTACCATACTGAACTTTACTTCTTCTCTATATATGACACATTTCGAGTGTGTTACTTGTAGCGCATTAAATCTCAGAATTGGACTCGTGCCAAAAGAATGAAAAACAAACAAAAATATGAAATTTATTCTTGCGCCCACTTTGTAATCGCAGCTTCACAAATATTAATAAAGTGAATATTATTCTTTACTTCATCTGGGTCCATTTCTTTTGTCTTCCACTTCAACACATTCAACAAAAGCAAGACTGGCATGCACTGGCAAATATTCTCTTTGATTCAATTTTGGCATATCGTTAATTTTGGATTATTAATGGCTTATTAAGAAGATGGAAAAATAGCTCTAATTTTCTACTATAAGCAGAATGAATTATGATTAAGTATTTCTCTTTAAAATATGTTTGTTTTAATTAATGAACAGTTCGACGTCACGGGATTTAAGAAAGAAAAATTACACTTTAATGAGTGCATGCTTCAGAAAACAATAACTCAGCATAATTTGTTAAAATATTATTTTGAAATAACCATCGTGTTACCAGTGTATAAGTAATTGGTTAATCTTTGGATTATGGTAAATTGGCGACTTTTTCGGCGACCAACTCTGCTACAGTAACCTGCTAGTTTTTCTTTGGACGCCATTTTGTTTTCACGAAGTAAACGCTCCCCTGTTTTTTTTTTTTTTTTTTTTACTCAACATTCTTTTCCAACAATCTGCTAGCCGAATTACGCTTATGTGAACTTTTATGGAACAAAAGCTTAATCATGACGACAAATTAGGTGCGAATTGGAGTGCAGAATCGCAAACTGCTTGCCGCGTTTTAAGAATTGCACTACGGTATCATCATGTACACGTCGACCTATTTTCAATTAAAAAAACATCCAGAATTGCACAAAAGGCATTACACACTTGACTTTATCCATGTACGCTGCTAAACCTAGCTAGTAACCTTTATCGCGTTCCAAAATGTCGCCAAGCTACCTGTTAGCATATTCCAAAGATTAGCCGAAATCCTAACGAAACCAAAAGCCCTTTATCACAGGCACACGTATAAAGACTGTGATTTCCAGTTTGTTTATTTCAATAAATCTCTCAAAACCAGAACACAAAACAAAACTATGCCATTACATGAAGTCAAAAGCCGTATGATCATCGATGTAAACAATTACCACTTAGCTCCGTTACTGGCTTTTAAAACTCAGATAAATCGTTTCGTTTTAATGTCGTATACGCGACGCTGGGGCGTCGAGCGAATCGTTTGTCGTGTATACGGGACCTGGGCTGGTAGGAGTGGAATTGTTGCGTCGCGTATACGCGACGCTGGTCCTGAACGGTTTAAATAGTCCTGTATAGAATACTGTAATAAGAATTTACTATAAAAATATTTGTAATATACTGAGAGGGGGGAACCCCGGCCGATGGACAATTGCCACTTCTGTAGAAACTGTCCTAAATCATCTTGTTATAATTAAAAGCCAATTTCTTTGTATGGTATCTAGTTTTGATTTTAACCTGACAAGCTCCTCTTCCCAGTGGCACCAGGGACCAATTCCATACATCATTTTTCGAATAATTACATTTATATAAATCTTTTTCAAAATTTCGCATTTATTCTGTAAAGTTAAACAATTAAATTGAGATCTACAGAAATTAATAATACCATCAGAACTCTTATGAATATATTTGGTGGTGTACTTAATTACGGCAAAGCACACTAGGGCTATCTGCCTAAGGAGAGGGATTCCTTCGTGGAGGACTTTCTAAGGGAAACTGGCTCGTATACACGTTACACATGGGGAAAACCACGAAAACACCCATGCAGCCAGCACGTTCGCGGGATTCGAACTTCGGACCGAACTACCAGCGTTCAACGACTTTACCGCTCGGCCGCTGGTGGGCTATGAATATATTTGAAATGTTCAATAAAAGTCAATTTTTCGTCCAATATCACACCCATATATGTAATATTATTACAAAATTTAATGTTTTTTTCCATTAAATTTAAGTTTTGGATTTCTTATCCGTCTTCCTCCTTCCTTCCTTACACCGGCACGTTTTTTACATACTGAACGTAATATCCTCTTCTTCAGTCCACTTATTCAATAACTTACCTAGTTCTTTAAAGTGACTCTCTGTTTTCTCCAGTGATACATCATAAATAAGAAACAACAAATCATCTGCATAGCAGTATGTCGATACAAGAGGCATACTAATATTCTGAAGTAATTTATTGACAATCAGACCCCAGAACAGGGGACCACTGCAGAAGCCCTGGGGGGCAACCCTTATTCATTGCATATTTAATTTCAAGATCTTCAAATTCTCCCTTGAAGACAAGTTTCCTTTTCTAAATATCCATTAACACATTAAATAACTGATAAGTTATTTTCAATGTTCAGTACCTCGAAAACTGAAGACCATTTGACTGAATCAAAGGCCCCCGGACATCGAACGAGACAAGGCCACATGATACAGGATCTTTTGAGTCTTATCCTCCACAACTCATACAATGCCAATTCTGTACTCTTCTCTTTCAAAACCATATTGTCATCAGATTAAAATCATCTCTATATCTAAAATTACAACCTATTAACAATTAGTTTTTCATATAAGACCCAAATTTAGCAAACATTGGCCTAAATTTTTTCTTTTATATTTGGAATCAGAACCAATTCACCAATTTTCCAGTTTGCGGAAAATTATGCAGTTCCAAAATTTGTTGTACAAAATAATTGGAAAGGAAGGACAAAACGCATATAAGGATTAACTAATGTGACCCAATCCCTTCCGGTCCCGGCAATCTTATCGCGAAATCCAAGATTGCAATATCAATTTCGTTATTGAAAAAATGTTGTTCCTCTTTCCATCAAAACAATCTCAATATTATCGAATAAAGAATCCCCAAGATTTCTATTCAAGTCAAGCGTCTCCTCTATTAAGCCTCCATAATAATCTTCATGGATCCATTATTTCCTTTATGGAGAATTATTTTTTCTTTTTTTATCAGCCGCAATCCTATGGATTGATCGAATTCCCTACTACACAAAATAAATTCTGTTTATAATCATATTTTGCTTTTTTATAGCTTTCTTGTAAGTGCCAAATGTTTTTATAACAAATTTTCCGTCTATTCTCACCCAATTCTGGCAACCGAGGACTTGACTACTCTTTCTTAAGCCCTAATCTTTCTCTTTAATTCGGAGAGTGGGGTCTACCAAGACAATCGTGTTTCTTTTGGCCAGACTTAGTAACTAACTTCTTTAACATTTCCTGAATACATAACTCAAATTCAAAAATCACCGTATTCAACTCCTCTATACTATGACAATTAATAATTTTATTTTCTAAATCACAGAAATAAGGAGATAATTAAAAAAAAAAAAATTCCCAACTCTCCCTTTATTCCTCGAGAAAACCAACTGACTTTGTTTAGTCTCATCCAAGTCTACGATAATATATCGCTGATCACTCAGTGTTTCAATTTCCAGGCAAACAGAACACGTCGAACTATTGTCACTTTATAAAGAATCCCCTAATTGCCCAAAATGGCATTGCGCACTCTTTTAACTTTATACATGTACACGTCGACCTATTTTCACTTTAAAAAAATTTTCAGAATTGCACAAACTTGCATTGCGCACTCCCTTTACTTTGTCCATGTACACATCGACATGTTTTCACTTAAAAAGTCAAAGGAGTGCCCAATTCTACAATATAGGCAAACAAAAAATGCATAATCTCAATAAAATACATTTTAAACCAAACAATAAAATAACAAAAAAGGAAAAACAATTCATACGTTTAAGCACTACCAAAAGCAAATATTCACTTACCATGATTTTCGAGTTCGCTTAGTACACCCAGAGCCACGTAAAAATCAAAATATAAATCGTACTCAAATGTCTTTTTTTCAAACCAGGTACTCTTTCTGATCGAACGCTTCACATAGTGACTAATAAATAATAGTGAACCTTTCTTCCTACAAACCCATTCAAATCCACCTAACCGGTTTTAACCCACACCACAAAAACGCTTACAAAACATCCCATGATTCAAAATTTCCCAGAATCATGCACCCGATTACGTCACAATAGGGTTTCCATAACATTCAACTACTCAGAGTACCACAAATGAAACAACAACTTATCGATAAATCAACTTCGTCATAATAAAAAAACGTACCTTAAAGTCTACTCTACCCCAGATCAGTCCATCGGGTACCAATTGAAGACACAGATGTAGGTAAAGAATCGCTTTCGATAAAAACAACTAAATCCTATTG